AAAAAAAAAAAAAAAAAAAAAAAAAAAAAAAAAAAAGAAATGAGAACATGAGACTAGGGAGAGTATAGGAGAGTTCACAAACAGTAAAAGCAATGGAGGAAAATATGTTTTATATAGGAGAATAAAATACTTTACTATTTAAAATACACTAGATCTGGTTGATAGTTAATATATAGCATTTCTGAAGAACAGACTTAAAAGTAACTAGTGGAAATATTATAAGAAGAATCTCCCACTTTAAGCAAATAAACTGTTTAAGTCTACTTTAGGAACTTTTTTTTTTCTGTTATGTGAACTTTTGATAATTACAAGAAAATTAATAAAAACAGACAGACCCAGCAGGACTGCTTTTTGGCAGCATTTTGTAACCAATTACCTAGAGATGAATGAATGTTAAATATGGTTAAATTCATGAATATGGTAAAAATCATATGATCTTTGAGGAAATGAAATGACTGTTTAAAACATTCTGTGGTTACAATGTCTCAATAGCTGTTAAGGATGAATTAATAAAGCATCCCCAAGAGAAAGGAAAGGTTTCTAAGGAAAGAGAAAGAATGTTTTTAGTGAAGGTGAGGGAGAGAAATGCAGGCAGCATGTGCTACTTTTAAAATGATACTTACCAGTAAAAGATGGAGAGAGAAAAAGAGAAGGAGAGAGAGACAGAGACAGAGAAACAGACACAGGGAAAGATATTCGTGTATGAATTTGAGAGGGAATGTTATTTTTAAGGTAGAAGAGACCTAGGTTTATTTAGAATGTCAGAGGAACAATGTCAAAAGGGATGATCTAGGAAAGAGGTTCAAGAAGAGTGGTCTTGAAGGACAAGGAAAAAAGCTGAGATTTGATCACAGGGATTTGTCTGAGGAGGGAGTCATTTTCTTTGAGACCAGAAGGAAAGGTGTGAGGATGACCGAGCCTGTATATATATTTAGAGATGGTGCTGGGCAGGTTGTGGGGAGGGGGGAAGTGGTCAAAAAGTTTACCGAACTCCTGCCTTTATTATTTCATTACCTAACTCCAAAGGGCATTTAGCACCCGCTAGGACCATTCTTTCATCTCTAATTACAAATCTACAATTGGTTTGTGATCTGACATTTTCTAAATATTTTATGGTGCACCCGATGGTGATAACTTATGTTAACAAGTCAAAATAGGGGCCGGCCCGGTGGCGCACTGGCGCTCCCGCCCGAGGGTTCGGATCCCACATACGGACCGGTTCCCGCTCGCTGGCTGAGCGAGGCGCGGGAGCAGCGCCGAGGTTTGCGATCCCGTTGCCGGTCCCCGGTCCGGTGCGGGGGCAGCACTGAGGGTTGCGATCTGGACACGGAAAAAAGACAAAAGACAAAAAAAAAAAAAAAAAAAAAACAAGTCAAAATATATTTTTTAAGAGGAAAAAATGTGAACTACTTACTTGCTTGTATATGTACTTTATTCTTTGAAGTTAAGCTTGATGGATGTGGTTGAGAAATTTTTTATCCTTTCATCAGGAAATTCGACTTATTGATTATGAGAAAATGGTGGATCACAGAGGAAAAAAAAAAAAAAAAAAAAAAAAAAAAAAAAAAAAACAAGTCAAAATATATTTTTTAAGAGGAAAAAATGTGAACTACTTACTTGCTTGTATATGTACTTTATTCTTTGAAGTTAAGCTTGATGGATGTGGTTGAGAAATTTTTTATCCTTTCATCAGGAAATTCGACTTATTGATTATGAGAAAATGGTGGATCACAGAGGAACACGGGTGGTGGCATTTGGACAATGGGCAGGTGTGGCAGGTAGGTATGCCAGGGCTCCCACATCATCCACACTCTACATTTGGAAGTAACTGTGTGTTTTCTCTCTTCTGCGGCAAGGGAATGAGAGTGTTTATTTCCAGAGATAAAAGTAAAAATGGGAGTATGCTGGAGGGTGATGAATATGGGAGGAGTAGAGTACAAAGATAAATTGTTAAAATATATTTTATTACAAAAATTAAGAAGAAAAAGAGAGCAGGGAGAAAGATAACAACTATAAACAGGCTCTGACTTTTTAGGTAGTTCCATTTGGAAGGTTAGAAGGAGAGAGCAGTTTGATAAAGAGATAATGGGAAGTAGAAGACAGGAAAAAAGTGGAGAAAAGTACAGGGGTAGGAACCGACAGAGGAACAGTCTAGAAAGAACAACAGCTGGAGTATGGGAAAAAACTCTGCTTGATATTTTGTCCCAGGTAGTACTTTGAACCTTCTTCAGTTGAAAAATACCATAATATGTCATAGCTCTGTATCATATTAGACGATTCAAAGGCCTAATAAGGAAGGTCATAATTTTAGCATTATTTGTTTGGCTTTGTTACATGAGAAAGTGGAAGATTCCTCATTGTGGTTTATGTCACTGAGGTTTCATCTTGATCAGTCTGCCTTTGCCTCCTTGGGTTTAAACTCTTTTTAAACTGTATTCCTCAAAAAATATGGTTGATAGTATCATGTTTAATTGTGCAAAAAATAAAATTATTTGGAATCCTAGGGTACTTATACAAATAGCACTCTTTCTTTTTCTACCATTTACTCAAAAAATTGTCATTCAGATAGGTTGGAAAAATTTTAAATATTATATACTCTTAGAACTGAGCAATTTCAGAAAATCCATAAATTTTACCCTAATTCACCTGCTTCTGAAATAGTAAAGAAATCTAAGCAAAATTTTGAAACTCATGAAATTCTTTTCACTTAGAAGCAATTCATTGTTTTTTATTTTAATCCTCAGTTTGTACCTTTTCTTATCCAACATATAAATCAGCTTTATTAAAGTAACAGAAAATTAAATTTCTCAACATGGAAGGAGTGATAGGTAGACTTCTGATGGCCGCTCTTCCCAGGGTCTTTCAGGACTCACCCAGAGGAATTTTGTCTGTCTGGAGAGAATTAATACATCATAAATAACTTGATTAATTCAGAAGCCACCACATTCAGAAGTAGCACCACACCAAGGATGTGGTTCTTATTCTTTGTGAAGTATTTAGACAAGTAAACACACAAGTACAATGTCAGTGTTAATTGTTACAGGAAGGGCATTTAAGTGGAGTTGGCTGTTGGAGAAGCTCCTTTAAAAAAGTGCTTTTGAAGTTGAGGTGTGAAGAATGATTAAAAACTACTCAAGGAAGTAGGAGACGGGGGGAGTAGAAGTGTGCAAAGCCGGAAGGGAAGAGGAGAGAAAAAGCAGTTTTGAGGAACAGAAATAAGTTCGGTATAATTAGAGCGTAGATGAGGATGCTGCTGGGTTAGTGCATTTGATGGCAGAAAGTTGAGGGGATGGATCAGCTCCAGTGAGTCCCCTTCCAAATCTGAAATGCTGTGGTGTGTTCTTCCTCGGGGCACCGAGCAGAGAGAACAGCCTCAGCTACCCCCACTAATGGTCTTTCTATTGGTCTGATTCTGCAATAGGGATGATCAACATTTTACATGGAATGGGTTTAAGGCTCCTTGCTTTGGGACATCACACACCGTTTATGGTGAGAGATGGTTATTTTGCTTATTTTTTTGAAAGTACATATTGCACTTTAAGAATAGAAAGATGTCAGCTGGTGAACTGACTTGAATTGTGTGTGCTTGCTTCCAGCACATTGGCATGGCTCATAACTACAGGAACAGCAGTCAGGCTGTGCAAGCCGTCCGTGACGCTGGCTATGAAATATCTCTGGGGTTGATGCCAAAGTCAATAGGGCCCTTAACATTTGTGTTCACGGGGACTGGTAATGTATCCAAGGTAAATTTTACCTACCTTTTTTCCACAACGCTGCCTGAAACTGTAATACTAACCCAAAGAATGTTTCTTTTCTTTCTTTATATAAAGGGATAATTTATTGTTAATGGTGTAAAGGTCCGTTCTTAGGGTGATCTGTTAATGGTGTAAAGGTCCGTTCTTAGGTGATCTCCATCACTGAGATGTTCAAAAGTTTGGAGGTGACCCGAGAATGTACACTTTTCAAGATTACTTGGAGTTTTGCCACTAAAATATTAGGAAGATTAATTAAAGACTGGAATTAATACTTTCTTTCTTCTGGGATGATTTTAAGAATGCATTTGTAATCTCCCATAGAAACTTGTAAAATGCTTCTTTCTTCAAAGATAATATTTTACAAATAAGACATCACTTTTACTATTATATTGTGAGGTAAGCATCTGATTTTTCTTTTGTAGGAAATATAGTTTGCCCATTTAAAGTAATTTTTGCAATGAATCAAAAAGCAGATAGAAATATTTTATTGTACCCTCATATCTAAATGCTCTTATTGATACTCGAGTAATTTAAGTAAAAAAAAAAATTAAAGCCTATTCTGTGTGTTGTTCAAGCTGGAATAAAAGCTGGTTTGTAGGTGTGTGCAAGAAGCTCATCTATACTGTGTGGCAGTTCCATTTGGTGGGGCGGGGGACGGGGAGTATATAATGTGGGAAAAATGAGTTGGTATCTTTGCAGGAAACCATGTTGGCTCTTTCCTATTGATTTTTGGAATTTTACTAATGTGTTATTTATAGGGAGCCCAAGAAATCTTTAATGAGCTACCCTGTGAGTATGTGGAGCCCCATGAATTAAAAGAAGTTTCCCAAACTGGAGGTAAGGGACGAGGGGCGACTGTAACTTTTACTATTTTTAACAGTCTCTGTGTTACAATATTTAATCACCGTAAATCCTTATCATTTGTTACCAGTTTTACTGATTTCTTTCTCCTCTGCAAGACCTCAGAAAAGTATATGGGACAGTGTTAAGTCGCCATCACCATCTTGTCAGAAAAACAGATGGCATTTACGATCCTGTGGAGTATGACAAATATCCTGAGCGCTACATAAGTCGTTTTAATACTGATGTGAGTATCATATTCAGCTGTTGAGTTGGCTGCTTATGATGCACTACATAGGCTGCTTTCACAGAGGGAAATTAGGAATGTGTACATTGGTTTTCAGTTCCCCATATTGATTTGTGAATCTGTTGGGTGTCACAAGTTGGCCTTAGGACTTGCTGGCTTTCGTCGGTGTTTGGAGTGGTCTTTACTTAATAGTTTTGGTGGTTTTTGTGGATACACCCTTTGCTTCACTGCCTCTGTTTCTACTTCAGATCTGCATGTGCCCAATAGCTCTAAGCCACTTACTGTGGATTTCTGTTTTCTCTGTTTATCCTGGACTAGTTAGCACTGTTGGCAAAGACAACATAGGTATATCCCTTCTATGGCCACAATTTGCCATCATAGCCTCAGCCAGCCATCTTGAAATACATGCCGTTGATTATGGGGCCACCATGAAATAGTGTGGCTACACAAGCACAGACCACCCCACTGTGTGAACAAGCTACTTACAAATCAAATCCTTCTAATGGGGACACATTAGGCTCATCTTATAAGAAGTACAATATATTTGTGTGTTCTGTAGTAATTAGCCATGGAGAAATCCTCCCCCAAACAAACCAACAAGCCAAAAGATAAACAAAACAAAAATTGCATGCATTTATTGTTACTGTGGAAAGGAATGCTTTCAATAATTTTAAATATGTTTAACAACATAGCATTTTTAGATTCTGATATGAAATTTAGTTGTTATAGAATGTAGAGCATGTTAAAGAGAAAGACTTTTACCTTTAGCTTGAGATGTTTTGTAAAACTAGTTTCAAACTGAAAAATTCTGAATCTGGTAAATTTCCATCCCTTCTCTTTTCCCCAATCACAGGAGTATTGGTGATTGGATACATCCTAAAACTTGTAATAACCTAGTTACCATGTAGGCATATATGTAGCACATTTCTCCGTGGAGCTTACAGATGTTATCTGATTTAATCTTCACAGCATTCCTTTGAGGAATGGGGTATGTTATTATCCCCATCTGGCAGGTAAGGAAAATAGAGCCCAGAGAAGTTGTGGTAACATGATTTAGATTACGCCCTACTGGTGGTCAAGCTGGAAATAGAGTTCTAGGTCAGTTGACTCTCTGTCCTTTCCATTTTCTTTGCTATGTAATACATTATAAAATGAAAATACAGTACTTATATATGTGTTATGTTCATATATTTCTCTACCATGGGGTGATTCTACACTGAGATCTAGGTGGGTATTTATTATGTTTGCATCAAAAGATGGCCACTGACCGGAAAAATAAAAAAGTTCAATAGAAGTAACATTTATTATTTATTAATTTATTTATTTATCCCAATTTAAATACATTTTTTTTTCCTTTTTATCTTTTTTACTGACTGGTAACAGGATCGCATCCCTCGGTGTTGCGCCTGCACTGCGCTCAACCAGTGAGTGGGAACCGGTCTCCACATGGGATCCGAACCCTCGGCGGGAGCGCCACCGCGCTCCCAGGTGGCGCACTCTCCAGTGTGCCACCGGGCCAGCCCTAAATACATTTTTAAAATTAATTCATTAATTAATTTATTTTTATTTATCATTATACAATGTAATTGATTTTTGTGGCTCTATATCAATTCCTCCCTTTCCCCCCTCCCTTTCCTCCTTTCTCATCCTTGACAACCTCAGTTCTATTTTCTTCTCTTAAAAATTTCAGTGAATTATTGTGATTGTTGGTTTTTTTTGTTCTTTCTTTATTTTTATTAGCTCAAACATATAAGAGAACATATGGTATTTCTCTTTCTGTGCCTGGCTTTTTTCACTTAATATAATTTTCTCTAAGTTCATCCACGTTGCTGTGAATGGCAGTATTTCGTTTTTTTTTTTTTTAGCAGAGTAGTATTCCATTGTGTAAGTATACCATGTTTTCCTTATCCACTCATCCTATGATGAGCATTTCAGCTGGTTCCATATCTTGGCTATTGTAAACAGAGCTGCAATAAACATGGGGGTACAGCTGTCCCTTTGACATGATGATTGGACTCTACTGATAGCTCTCCTTAAGGACACTGTATTAAAACGGGCTGTTTCCTATTTCATTGCACTTGGAACTTGATTTACAGATTGCACCCTATACAACTTGTTTAATTAATGGAATCTACTGGGAACAAAACACCCCTCGCCTACTAACCCGCCAAGATGCTCAGAGTCTCCTGGCTCCAAGCAAGTCCTCAGTTGCTGGTGTTGAAGGCTGCCCCACTTTACCACACAAGTAAGGACTTTGCTTTAGGAACAATGGCAGTTTAGCAGCAGCCCATTACTAGGGGATCAAAGAATATAATGTCCCCACATATCACAGGACTTGGTTGTTAATGACGAGTTTTCTGCCTTATCTTACTTGATCTCTTGGCAGCATTTGACACAGTCAACCTTCGCTCCTTTGTGAAACTCTCTTCTTTTGACTTCTGGGGCTACATATGCAGCTCCAAAGCAACCTCCTCAGAGAAGTCTTCTCCTGCTTCCCCATTGCCATCTCTCTTAGTCTATTATTCTATTTTTTTTATAAATTTATGATTTTTCTCCCTCCTACTAGAACTTAATTATTATTAGAACTTAATTATTATTTGAACAGGCATTCAAATAATTATTAAATGTTGAATTAATTAATGAATCAGTCAATATTTGTGGAACTCCTGGTCTGCCTAGCATTCTGCTAAGCTGAAGGACAGAGAAGAGTAAAGGATATGTTTGTAGCCCCCAGGCATGTAGCTGACATCAAGTAAATGCCAGGGAATGTTAGGAGCAACAATATGAGAATACTTTAAGTTGTTCATGGAAAGATTCACATTATCTTTTAGTTCTGTTTTTCCACGAACTTTTTAAAGTACCCTCATATCACAGGAGTTTGAAGAAAGTGGGAACACTGCTCAGCAAAGCTTTGAGAGGAGGAGGAAGGAGAATGAGAATTACAAGTGATAGGATTGGTGCTTGATGAAATATGGAGCCACCAAAGCACAACTGAAGACACTGAGTGAGATAGTCTAGCTCTCGTACAGGTTTATGTAGGTGCAGGGGCAGAAAGATATGATACTTTTCCTCAGCCTCATCATAAGGGTCACAGCTGACACTCCAATAACAAAAGACAGGTTAACAAGAGATAAGCATACCAAGTTTATTCAGTCAAGTTTTACATGACATGGAGCTTTCAGAAATGAAGACCCAAAGACCCGGGAAAACTGTCTAGTTTTTATGCTTAGGTCTGATGAAGAATGGACAGCTATGTAGAAATGTGATTGGACAAAAGGGTATATTTAATGGTAATAGACTGAGGGGGGAAACCCAGCAAGGCCTGTCTGCTCATATTCTTCTTGGCTTCTTTGTGTAACATTGCTACACATGGAATGTGTATGGGGCAGAACCCCTCTTGAAAAAGTGTCTTCCGACCTCCTATCAGACAAGGTAGGTCAGAGAATTTCTCTATGGCCAGCCTCTACACAGGAAGGCAGGGGCAAGGTTAGAGTAATATTTTTAGGTTTTATGGTTTGCTTTGGGGAAGAAGGGTTCTAGTTTCTATGACCCACCTTGAGGAAGAGATATTCTGGTTTCTATGACTGGCTTCTGATGAGAAAGAGTCAGAAAACAGGAGGGCAAGAGAAGGTCAGAGAGACATGCTGCTTCTGAGGCCTTCCAATGTCTTTTAGTTCAAAGTACTCAGCATGCCAAAATGCTATATGGTGGAGTGTCATTTTCTGAGCTCCAACATTGACAAGTGGTAAGTGGTGGTTGGACAGAAAAATTGTGGTCAACCTCCGAAGGCTTTCAAATGCTGGACTAAGACTTTGTTTCATAATTCTGGAAATTTCCATGTAATCACGTGTAAAATTATGTTGTACTAAGCAGAGTGAAGGTAGTGTAATTCAATCTTGGTGCGTTGGCTAACTGTGTTAGCTTAGTCTGTTGTCAATGATTTCTCTAGGGAAGGAATTCCTCACTTTGGTTTCGTTTCTTTTCTTTCCTTTTTCCTTCCTTCCTTTCCTCCTTCCTTCCTTCCTTCTTTCCTTCCCTCCCTCCTTTCTCCCTCCCTCCCCCCCCTCTCTTTTTCTTTCATTCTTTCTTTTGTTTCTTCTGGAGACTAAAATTCACAATGGGAAGATTATCTGTATCCCAGGACAACACAGTGTCCAGAAGACTGGCCTGTAGGAAAAAGAGCCTAAGAGCCTGAGAAATATTGGGCATCCACATTGAAAACTGTTCCAATAAAAGTGTTCATTTTTATTCATTTTAGTCTTGTTGGAGACTTCAGAATTTCATCTTCTCATCTAAGTATTATTGATGTTATTTTCAGACTTGTGGCAATATGTGACATTTCAGCTGACACAGGAGGATCAATAGAGTTTATGACTGAGTGTACAACAATAGAGCGTCCCTTCTGCATGTATGATGCAGACCAGCATATTATTCATGACAGGTGAGTTTGCTAATGCTGTTAGATAGTGAGAGATGCATAATAACACATCACTTACTTACCTCGATATACTAGTCTAAAATACTCAGTATTTTACATCTTTATGAAGGTATGCAAATTTGGAGAAATGCTCAAACATATTAAAAAATTGGGTAGAAAAAGTACATGCAAGTTTTAACACTTAAATACATATATACTATATCTAAATGAATGATAGGTTGCTGAAAAAAAGTTTTGTTTGAAGAGTTTTGTTCATTTTCTTACATACTTTTGTACAAAATTACAAATGATAGTGAAGCAAATATAGTGCAGTAGACATCTGGAAAAGTTAAAGCTTACAAATAAATTTTGTACATCTGAATAAAGCATATTGCTTCTGCTAGTGTTGAAGGCTCTGGGATTCTGATGTGTTCCATTGACAATCTGCCGGCGCAGCTTCCAATTGAAGCTACAGAATACTTTGGAGACATGCTTTACCCTTACGTTGAAGAAATGGTAAGCAGACTGGTAGCATCAGCAACAACTCTGTGGTTTAAACAGAATTATGGAGTGATATGAGTGTTCTGGTCTTCCGTATCTAAGAAATCTGTTGTAAAATGAAATGCCAGCCCTTCTCCAAAGTACTTACTGATACACTTTTATTTTACATATTGCTTACTTGTCTCCTGGGGAACTTGATTATATCACCGCTGTCATGCTTAATTAGAATTTCATTTGTCTCTCATGAAATTTATATTGGGGCATTCTTCCTTTTTTGTGATTAACAGATTTGAGAAATGAGAAATACAGAACATTTTATTGTGTTTTAGCCACCAATGCTTAATTAAGTGACAGTTTATGCTGAGGTTATGTGTTTTTCTTCTGTGGTAATTGATTGATTTAAAAAATACTGTGTTATCTAAATTACATATTCTTTACCAATGAAAACCTCTCTTACTTCAGTGTTTATCCTAAGTGTTCATACACATCTGTTACTTCTATTGCTAATGGCTGTCTGCCTCTGGCAATGATTTCAGAGCTTAAATAATGGCTCTTGTGCTTTTCATCTCTCGGGAGATCTCATAGGAAAATGGGACACTAGTGGGGCAAGAATAAATGAAACTTTCACTCAGTGATCTTCTTTTCTTTTGAATAGTATTCCACTTTGGCCCTTTGTTTTTCCTCTTAGGTTATGTCAGCAGGGACATGTAGTGGGCTTTAGAAAATGCAGACAGCAGGCATTGTCAGGGTTGGGCACAATATTGCACCTACTATGTGCCAGGCAGTGTTCAAAGTACTTTATATATTTTAATTTTAAATACTCAAGAGAACCCTATCGTGTAGGTATCATAATTAAACCCATTTACAAATTAAGAAATTGAAGCATAGAGAAGTTAAGGCTGAGAAGGGCTGCCCATGTAGTGCTGGATTTGCAGTGCATCTGGAGCTGGTGCTGAGGGATTAAAATAGCATGAGGAGAGTACAAATGTTAGGCTTTATTGGAGACATCAACTTGATTTACAGCCTTGAGCAGCGTACTCACTTCCTTTCTGAGATTCACATATTTTATCTGTAACATGAGATGGGTGTAATGTGTAATCTTTTTGGTCTCTCTCCAGTTCTAACATTCTGTAATTGTAAAGGTGTAAGTGGCTGAACAGTATGTGTATTAAAAAAAGGTAATAGTAAATTTACCCAGATGTTCACCATTTTTGATTGATGTTCTTCATTCATTTCCCTTTGGCATTATTTCCCTGCAGACTGAATTCGCTTAATTTTGCACTTCTTAGAGTACAGATTTGCTGGTGACAGATTCTCTTAGTTTTCATTTATCTTCATATCTTCATATTATGTGTTCTGCTAATATGCTTAATTCACTTTCTGTGAATTTTTTTTTTTATTTCAGTTATTCTATTTTCAGTTCTAGACTTTCCTTTTTTTTTTTTTTTTTGGTATTTTTCTCTGCTGAGATCTTTACCTTTTCATTTATTGTGAATGTATTTTCTTTATCACATGAAGCATAGCTATAAAAGCCACTTTACAGTCTTTATCTCATACTTGAGATATCCTTACTCTTCTTCCTAAAGATACCCACTATCCTAACTTCTAACTATGGAATAGTTTTGCTGTTTTTTTTTTTTTTAAATTACATAGATGGAATTATACAATATATATGCTAGTGGGTCTAAAATCTTTCATTCAGCATTATCTTTATGAGATTCATTGTTCTGTTTGAAGCAATTTATTTATTTTCATTGCCAAATAGTATTTTATTCTGTGAATACTGTATACCAAGATTTATTTATCTGGTCTACCACTGATGGACTTTTGGGGTTGTTTCCTGTTTATGGTTACTGCTAATGATTCTACTATGAATATTTTTTAATGCATGTTTTTGGTACACATGTGTATATATTTCTTTTGTTGGGTTTATACCTCATATGAAATTGCTAGATCATAGGGCATATCCAATTTTATTAGATACTGCCAAAGACTTTTCCAAAGTGCTTGAACCAATGCCATCAGCAGTATATGAGAGTCCCAGGTGTTCCACATCCTCAACAATTTTTTGCATCATTAATCCTTTAATTTAGTTATTTTTGTGTATGTATAGTGGTAATAATAATAATTATAAGTTGAACTGTTAAAAGGAGAGAGAAGTGTGGTTAGTAGAGGCAGGAAAGGGAAGGGGAGGGAGGATAGTGAAAAGGTGCTTAATGGACACAAAATTACAGTTAGATATATTCATTTTAATACAGTAAACAAATTCTCGGCTGCCAACATCTTCTAGGTGTATTTTTCTTTCTTAGTTGGGTGAGTGCTCCTGACTTTAACCTATGATTAGGGAGAAGAAATTATCTCATTAGCCCTTCCCTGCCCATCAGAGGCAACAACACTTACTTAGTTGCTTAAAGGTAAAATGTCCTTTACTCCTTAACAGCGTATTCAGAGTTAGGGACGCTGGGAGAAGAGCGGAGAACTGGACTGGTGCTGGGATGTTGATACGTGAAAGGTGACTTTGGTTGTCTGAAAGGTGACTTTGGTTGTCGTCTGACTCAATCCTGAGACAATGGAAAGAGCGTGTGGATGACTTTTGAAGTCTACTTGCTTGAGTCACTTTCCCTACCAGTTTTGAAATGCTGACGTGCCTATACAGCACTCCCTCCTTATCTGTGCTTTCACTTTAGGTGGTTTCAGTTACCCACGGTCAACCACGGTCTGAAAATATTAAATGGGAAATTCCAGATATAAACAATTCATAAGTTTTTGTGCCATCCTGCTGTGTCCCGCCTGCGACATGAATCATCCCTTTATCCTTTGTGTCCGTGCTGTAGATGCTCCCCACTCATGAGTTCTTTCAATTATCAGATCGACTGTTGCGGGATCACAGTGTTTGTGTTCAAATAGTACTTATTTTACTTCATAATGGCCCCAAAGCACAAGAGTAGTGATGCTGTTTTGATATAATGTTTTGATATAAAGACAGTGATAGGGACTACAAAAATAAAGTGAGTAAAGAATATGTTTCACGAAATTTTAATAATGTCAATTCTAATGCTTTTAATTTTTTAAGTTTAATTTTTAATAATTTTTTGCAAAGTAGCAATTGATTTTGGTAAATTTCTTTGAAAATTCTATTTGTATTTGGTGTGTATTTTTCACAAGTGACATTTCCAATCATTTGGATTAATTGGGTTGGAGTTAAATAATTCAAGGGATATTGTTGTAATTGTTCTATTGTATTATTAGTTTATGCTGCTAATCTCTTACCGGGCCTAATTTATAAACTAGACCTTATCATAGGTATGGGTGTACAGGGAAAAACGTAGTATATAAAGGGTTTGGTACTATTGGCGGTTTCAGGCACCCACTGGGGGTTGTAACATATCCCCTGAGAATAAAAGGGGTTGGTAGCCTTGCTGAGTGGAAAACCCCATTCTCTACTTTTAATGGAACAGCTTGAACTTTTGGAATGGGATAGAGGCCCTCAGAAGGAGGACTATGCCTATAAAACTTGTGATGATATTTGACAGTGTGCTCAATATGATACATCTAACTGGTTGGGAAGAATAATTTTTCATGTTCCCAGCAAGCAAGGATGATTATAATCAAATGTTAGCTTTAAAATTGGAATTTGTGCTGAAACACCATGTTCTTGGAAGCAGAGTTGATTGCGTGTAGAAGACTTGGATTACCAATTATCTATATTCACTGATCTGCAAAAATCGGTTTCCTAAATTCTGTTATCTTTGATTAATATTGCAATATGGCTACAAACAACTGGAAGGCTTCTTTGCAATGTCATTGATCTTTTACCAATCTCATTTTCATTTCAGATATTATCAGATGCAACACAGCCTCTTGAAAGTCAAAATTTTTCTCCTGTGGTGCGAGATGTAAGTTTTGAGAAGAATTTCTTTCCGTGAATGTACTTTTTTCACTATCATCTTCACTCTCCTCTCTCCCTCTCTTTCTCCATGTCTGTCACTCCATCCCTTCTCTATCAATCATGAGCCTATGTTTGTAGGACTGAAATGGATACTAAAGAAATGTCTTGTGTCGTGTACATTTAGGCAGTGATTACATCCAACGGTAGATTGCCTGATAAATATAAATATATCCAGAAACTCCGGGAGAACAGGTAAGTATTGCTCAAATCCTCTTGTTTTATACATTTATTTTTATCTTGGATTTTATGAGTATTTTTTAATGCTTAAATGAAAGTTCTTAATAGTTGGTTTACACAATACATAAATTTTGATAGTGTCTGTAAATGTAGAAAAATCCAAACTAAGTGTCTGGCTGAAACAAATGTGAGTTCTTTTCCCCTAAACAGCTGTGTAGCATCATTTTGGCTTTCTAATGTCCTATGTCAACTTGTATAAGCAAGCGAACATTCAAAGGGCTGTCCTTTGAGTAGCCCCTTGTCCTTTCTCTGGAATTTTGCATATTGTCATGCCTCAGTTATTTTCTCAAAGTGAAATGAGCACACTAACTCTTTCTGTGGTGCTCTCAGTTTGAGTTTTAGTTGAGGATTTGGACTATCTTTTATCTAATCTAATATGTAGGAAAGTGGGATCTTGGATGAAATAAAGGGAGTAGTGAAGAAAGCAAATGGTGAGAGGTAATTTCCTCTGGGGATTCTTATCAGGAGGAAAGTGCCAAAAATAGTAATGTGGCAAGTCAACCCAAGAGAACAGTCATTTAGAAAGGTGTTTAGCTAAGGCCCTTCCTTCCTCTATTGATTTTATTGTGCAAAATTTGAAAACATTGATGTTTGTTTAGAATGTTCTGGTCCCCTCCAGCTGCTCGCACTTGCTTTGTGCTCATATCTGCTCCACTGGGTCTATTCATGTTTAAGAAAATAACCCATGCACTGAATTCTCAGGAGAAACCAGAGTGGAGACATTAAAAGAAACAAAACTAAACAAATGTCTTACTTTCTTTTTCAGGGTTCTACCTACAAATTGTAAATAAAAAGATCTATCCGGATTAAGTATACTCTACTTAAGCCTTTCCCTTATGTGTTAGTTTGCCTATAGTTACTTTTTTTTTTTTTTTAAAGATGACTGGTAAGGGGATCTTTACCCTTGACTTGGTGTTGTCAGCACCACACTCTCCGAAGTGAGCCAACCGGCCATCCCTATATGAATCTGAACCCATAGCCTTGGTGTTATCAGCACCACACTCTCCCGAGTGAGCCATGGGCCGGCCCTGCTTATAGTTACTTTTTAATGTGTCAGTGGAATACTCTGGCAAAAACACAAAGTGTATTTAATTTTTGTTCTTTAAGAAAAGAAAATAGCTCTATAACCCCGTACAGTTTCGTATAGGGTAAACCTCACATTTGTGGGGGTTTTTTGTTTTTTTGTTTGTAGCTCTCTCTATCTTTTGATTCTCATCATCTGATGATCTTTATACTACTAATACTAGTGACATGTTGAACATGATGTGTCACACAACGTATCTTCACTCTTATGCATGATATTTCACGTAGCAGCAAGTCTACTTAGCTCCAGTTGCTAGGACTTCCTGCCCACCTTCCCTGATGGAATCTCGTGCCAAGAGACTAATAAAGATTGCATTTCAAAATGAAATTTACCTTATTTTGAGCCCTGCCTTATTATATTCTTTTTATCACTTAGCACAGTGATTTTTTTTTTTTCCCCCTTTTTGCTGACTAGTACAGGGATAAAACCCTGGACCCTGCTGTTATCAGCATGATGCTCTAACCAACTGAACTAATTGGCCAGCTTGAACAGTGATTATTAACCTGGAGTATAGGGTTTGTTGGTACTGATGAGGTGGACAGTCTTAGCATCTAGGAGTGAGATATTTATTTATTTAATTTTTTTGAAGAACTGTCTAGGAGTAAGTTTTAAAAATGTATGTTGAACAATTTATATTTGCACACCAAAATAATGTTTTAATTACATAAACTGTAGAAAGTATTGTTAGAAAGAATATGCAATAACCAAATAATGGTTGTCTATATGAGGTGAAATGGGATATAGGGGTGGTAGTTAAAGGAGGCTTCTTCTCATTAGTAATATGTGTGTATTGGGGGTGAAAAGGGACAGTAATATTTTATATTTATACCTATTTTTATTCACTAATAATGAAAAAATTCATGGTTAAAGTTCAAGAGACATCCTGGCCTAAAGATTCCAACAAAAGAGCCTGCTGCTTAAGTCCCTAACACCAGGCCATTTCCATGGTTTCACACTGATATCAGGGAATTTGATTCAAAAGACATTTAGTGAGTACCTTCCACATTCAAGATAAAATGTGCTGAGCATTAAGGGTTTTCTAAATGTGGGCGAGACTTAATAACTACCTTGGAGGTCATAATTTATAGGAATCACCTGTCCAGAAGTTACAAATTCCAGCAGAATAAACTGTGTCAAGAATTAAAATCCTGCTTAGTACTAATCTTAAGTTTCTACGTTAAAGTTTCTACATTTGTGACTTCAAAGTTATGGTTTCGACTGTTCTCAAGTGACCCTAAAGATACATGACAAGACAATTTCTAATATGGATAAAAATGATCTTCTCCTCAAGTGTTGTTTCCTTGGATTGTGGTGAGGACTAAATAAAGTTTCCAAGGTAAAGCCCCTAGCATGATTTTGAATCATGTCCCCTGGAAGAATAAAATGTGAACCAAGTTACTTAAATGTAAGTCAGGAAATGGTCTGCACCTCATTAGTAGTATTGGGAATTCCTGAACGTCTATAGACATACATCTCAGAGATGTCAGGGTCTATTTCTCTTCATTGTACAGAATCTAAAATAATTAATGAAAAATGTTTGTATAGGGAACTCCTGTTGAGGTTCTTATTGCAAATAATGTGGGAGAGAAACTGTTACTTTATATTGTAGGTCTCAGGTTTGGAGACAGCAAGATTCTGTTGCCATAAAAAAATAAAGTTCTTAAAGTGGGTTTCCTGTAGAAAAAATAAATAAATAAAATAAAATTTTAATTACCCTTCTCCCCTCTTCTTTTTGAATAGGGAACATACTGGGTCACTTTCAATGGGCACCAAGAAAAAGGTCTTGATTCTTGGATCTGGCTACGTGTCTGAGCCTGTATTAGAATACCTGTCAAGAGATGGCAATATAGAAATAACAGTAGGTAAATAAGTCCTAATTTTTGAAGAAGAAGGACTGATTTCATAGCATGTTGACTCTGAATTTTAGATGACTACTTTGTTTCTAAAATTTGCAGTTATTTTTTGCAGATGTTAAAATGTGTCTTACTCTCTGACTAATGGAAGGAAATCTAAAAATTGCACTTTTTTATTCTTGAAATAGGCTCTGACATGAAGAATCAAATTGAACAGTTAGGCAAAAAATATAATATTAATCCCATTAGCATGGACATTGTTAAACAAGAAGAGAAGTTGGGCGTCTTGGTGGCAACACAGGATCTTGTCATCAGGTATCTGTCAAGAAATGTGTTCCATATTTTTGTTTTTGTTATTTCTCTTCCCTTTTCTCTTTTTTCTCTCTCTCTCTCTCTCTTCTATTTGCTCTCTTTTTTTTTTTGTCGGTTTTTTTTTTTTTGTGACCTGTAAGGGGATGCAACCCTTGGCTTGGTGTCGCTTGCACCACGCTCAGCCAGTGAGCGCACTGGCCCATCCCTATATAGGATCCGAACCCGCGGCGGGAGCGCCATGGGGCCGGCCCTTCTATTTTCTCTTTAAGTAGACTTTTTAATTGAAGTATGCATCCAGAAAAGTGCACAAATCATTAAGTGTATAGCTTTATGAATTTTCACAAAGTGAACATACTTTGTAACGGTCATCTACTTCAGGAAATAGAATATCAATAATAACCCAGAAGTTTTCCTGTGCCCTCTTCATTCACTAAGCCCATCTCCCATGGGTAAACACTAGCCTGGCTTCTAACACATAGGTTAGTGTTTGCCTGTTTTCAAACTTTATATAACTAGAATCATTCAGTACGTCCTCATTTGTGGCTGCCTTCTTTCATTCAACATTGTGATTGTGAGAACGTTTGTGTTATTGTCTGTAATTGTAGTTTATTCATTCTTATTGCTTTGTAGTATTCCATTGTGTGAATATACCACCACTATTTATTTGACTGTTGATGGATTTTTAGATTGTTTCTGGATTTTGGCTATTATGAATCAAGCTGCTATACACATTTTAATGTTTGTCTGCTGGTGACCATATATACCCTTTTCTGTTGGGTGTATACCTAGCAGTGGAGTTGCAGGTCCTGAGGTATTCATGTTTTATATAATCTTATGTCTTATCCTCTGGACTTACAAATTTTATGAAATGAGAAGATTCTCTAGCCTTATGACCATTTTAAGTCATCATAAGAACAGATCTTGAAATATAGTTTTTATTACTTTCTACTAAAAATGTAGATATAACCTCTAATACAGAGCTACATGAGGTTTACTCTATAAGGAAACTTGGTTTTGAAATATCAAAGTGATGAGAATAGTCACTTATTCCTAGAATGTAATTTTTCTAAGACGGGAGGAAGAAAGTTACTCGCAAACTCGTAGTGATTGCCTAATCGCTTTCATAGTTAGATCAGATTCAAATCGTATCTTTGGAGGAAGTTCTGTGTTATCCTACTTCAAAAAAAAAAAAAAAAAAGCTTTGAAAACAGATATAATGAAAAGTAATACTAACTATAGGTGGGAACTTTTATGTTATCTTTCTCTCTCTTTCTTTTTTTGGTGACGTCCAGTAAGGGGCTCCAAACCCTTGACCTCGGTGTTATCAACACTGTGCTCTTACTATTTTTAAACACAGACTCACCTTGGGCACTTAAAATGTTATTCAATTTATACAAACTTTATGTAGATTAATTTTCATTTAGCAAAAATTGACTAATGATCAATCGATCTTGTCTGGCAGTGATATGACTGTGAAAAGAAATTCTGATCCAAAATGGAATGTTCTAGCCTTCTGAGTAAAGCAAAAAGAATTTATTTTGCCACACATAGGTACCTAAATATGTTATTTTTTTTTTATAAAACAAAAAGAACATGACATTATAAAACACATTTGAAACAAAATTTGAAGTAAAATATGACAAGATAATGGACGAAGACAATCTATAAATATGTGCAAATTTAAAATGTAGCACATTAGTGGTCTTCAATAAGATTTAGCATTAGCAAAATCTGTTTTATATTTAACTTTTTTCTCATTTGATGGAGTTTCTATGATGAATAGTGGTAATGCCATTAAACATTGTTATCCTGCAGTGTTCTTTAATAAATAAATAATCTTTTATTTATTAAGTTGGAGAAATAATGTTTTGATATAAAGACAGTGATAGGGACTACAAAAATAAAGTGAGTAAAGAATATGTTTCACGAAATTTTAATAATGTCAATTCTAATGCTTTTAATTTTTTAAGTTTAATTTTTAATAATTTTTTGCAAAGTTGCAATTGATTTTGGTAAATTTCTTTGAAAATTCTATTTGTATTTGGTGTGTATTTTTCACAAGTGACATTTCCAATCATTTGGATTAATTGGTTTGGAGTTAAATAATTCAAGGGTTACGTCCTGTTGAGTGCTTACTATATCACATTTGAAATGAATTATGAACTGTAACCTCTTTGTCTAAAAAAAGCACTGTCAGTCAAAGTCCTATCATGCTAATTCTCAGCATATTGCTAGGTCAGTGCAGATAATGCCAAAGTTTTAAAATATTACTAGATCTTGGTAAAATTTTGATCAGGAATGTTTTTAATGTATGGAATGTGGTAAAAAAATTTCCCACTTAATCTTTGGATGATGATATTGTATATTTTTTATTAATATTTTGATTCTGATGGTCTTGTAAGTATTTTGCTCAATGGCTTTTTAAAAGCTACCAAATTTGGTAATAATTATTTTGGTTAAAAAGCTCAAAAAACAGACATCAAGAGCTTTCATAGGAGCTTTTGATACTTGCAAAATATGTACACAGTTTTATTCTACATAATAAATCTAAGTAATGGGCCAGCCCATGGCTCACTCGGGAGAGTGTCGTGCTGATAACACCAAGGCTACGGGTTCGAATCCCATATGGGGATGGCTGGTTAGCTCACTTGGGAGAGCATGGTGCTGACACCACCAAGCCAAGGGTTAAGATCCCCTTATTGGTCATCTTTAAAAAAAAAAAAAATTCTGAGTAACAATACCCTATTCTATTGACCTGAGAAGGAATAAATGCCTGAGAGGTGGTTTTATTGTTTTATTTTGGTTTGTGTGAAATAGAGAAAAGTTGAAGAATGCAGGATAAATTTGGTAAGTACAGTGTGGTGTATAGTGTGATATTGTTTATGACTTAGTATTTAGTTTTTCATCAGTATTACGTAGATTGCTTTACCAAATAGGCAGTAAGCTAGAATTCAAATATTATTTTGCAGTTGACAAGGGTGTTTTATTATTCCTTTGGTAGAATATGGATATTTATATCAACATTTGTGAAAATTAGGTTTTTTTGTGATTATATAGTTCCAGCACCAAATTAAAATGCTAAAGCCAGATTTTCAGAAAACCCAAAGTTGAGTTTTAAGTGCAGCTTCACTTTTTGCTCACCCTATGGCTTTTTAGCCATTTTGATAGCATTCATACTGATCAATACCATTAAAGTCTATCTCCTTCTCAGGTCTTTCCTGGAGTCTACTCTTTAATGTAACACATGGGCTGCCTTGATCTAGTTTAACTTTTCCTGATAGCCACTTGAAAGATGTGGAGGTAAAAAGAATAGCAAACCTATTTTTTAGTAGGGAACCCAAGGCAGAAAACCATAGAAATATAAAAACAAATGGAATAAATTTCATTAAATGTTATAAAGAAATAACTGAATACATGCAGAAGAAGGGGATCTGACTTTGGGGGAATCTGGGAAAGCTTCTTGGAGAAAAATAATTTTGGGGGCATTTCTTTTTTTTGTAAGTTTTTTGGGGAAGGGCAGCTGGGTAGTATGGGGATCTGAACCCTGAATCCTTGATCTTGGTGTTATAACACTTCACTCTAAGGGCATTTCTTTAAAAAGTGTATGAGTTGGAGGGGATGGGTGGGTGTAACGAACAGTCCAAGTGGAAGGCAAAGTAAGAGGAAGGAAACTCAGAGCTGGAAAAGGAAGGGCTTTGAATGGAGAATTACCATAGATTGTTTTGCTCCCCTATGTGATTTATGAAAGAGATTGAGGGAGAAAAATGGTAAGTTTAGGTGACAGCCTTTGTGGAGGGTTTTAGATGTGATAACAGAATGTATTCTGTAGTCCACAGGGAGTTACTGGTCATTTATGAGAGAATAATTTAATCAAAGCAGTACCTTAGGACTGAGTTTTAGTACAGTTCAAGGTACATTGGAAGGTAGGGTTGGAAAAGAAAGTTCTGATTAGTTTCTTCCTCTCTTTTTTAAGCTTGTTGCCTTATGTATTGCATCCTCTTGTGGCCAAGGCATGCATCACCAGCAAAGTTAACATGGTCACTGCAAGCTATATAACACCAGCGCTGAAAGAATTGGAAAAGAGGTAAATTTCAATCATTTTTAACAAAGTTAGTGGCTCCATGGCATTGTTTTTATTTTATATTGAATGTTTCATTTTTCCTCTTTCCACCTGTTGCAGTGTGGAAGATGCTGGCATCACAATTATTGGTGAATTGGGATTGGATCCTGGTCTTGATCATATGCTGGCAATGGAAACAATAGATAAGGCCAAAGAAGTGGGAGCCACGGTGAGCCCAATTTATACCCAAAAGTCCATTTAGGAAAATATTAAAAGGTCTAGCTTCTCATGTACAGAAATAGTCTTTCTGTAATTTTGATTAAAGATGCTGCTGTATTATGACTCAAACTTTGATTAGAAATTTCAAAAAAATTCTGTAAGTGCAGAAATATTTGTGTAGGAAAACAGTGTCCAAGTCTTAGATAGCAACTGATATTTAGAGATATAAATGCTACTATAATATTTTGGCTTAAGAAAGATTTTAGACTGCCTTGGAGATTCTGTAATAAAGTTTAACTTTGAAAAGTGGGAAAAATCATTAGAATATCATCAGTCTGTTGGAGTATGAAGTATCTTCTACACATGACAAGGCACTATTGGATATATAAGCAGATGACAATTCAGATGAAATGTTTTAGTTTTTATATATATATATAAAATCAAATAAATACAAGTCTGTTGGAACTGACCAAGCAGAATGGAACTAATACTTGGATTTTTAGCTGAACCAAATGTTAGTCATTAAGTACTTTTCACATTTTTAAAATTTTTATTTTATTTTATTTTAACTTCTCGATATACATTGTAGTTGATGTTAATGTCCCTTTACCAGTTCCTCTTTCCCCCCTCCCTCCCTCCTCTCCCCCAGTACATCATATCTGTTCACTTGTCTTAACAAGTTCAAGGAATTGTGATTTGTTGTGTCTTCTTCCCCCTCTTTATTTGTTTGTATATGTATTAACAAATATAAAATATAACTGTGACACTCAAATGGTGTTTGGCTTTAAGGATGTATTTTTAAAAGCCTTAGCAACTTTAAGAGAGAAAAATCTGTAAGTTTACCCCATTCATGTCATTGTCCTCAATTAATTACTTAGAGACATTATTCTCCCTAACTTATTGTGAATTCTCCCTAATTTATTGATTCTTTAATTTGCAGATTGAGTCTTTTATTTCCTACTGCGGTGGGCTTCCAGCCCCTGAACATTCCGATAATCCTTTGAGATATAAATTTAGCTGGAGTCCAGTGGGAGTTTTGATGAACGTAATGCAGCCTGCCACCTATCTGCTCGATGGAAAGGTGAAGGAATGTCATTGAAGCTTTAGATAGGAACCAGCAATAACCACCTAAGACAGTCCAACTCTTTCTTCCTGATACTAAGGCCCTCTACTGTGCTGCCGGTGCCCCGCGATTTCCTCCTGTGGTGTTTCCTGGTGTATGTTTTCTGTTCCATTTAGTGTGGTTTCCTCACTGTTTTCAGCAAAGCCTGTGCTCATTTTTACCTCTTTGCCTTCTTGCAAGTTGTTTCTAAAACTCGAGAATTCACTTCTCAACTTCTCTACATATGTAAATACTGGCCATCTTTTGATTTATTTTAACGTGACAAACATTTACTGAGGACCTGCTATGCGTTGGACTTTGGGCAAGACACCAAAGACTGTCCCACGGGATGAAGTTCCTGACCTCAGAGAACACACAGCTGAGTGGGGGTTCAGAGAACTCACAGCTGAGTAGGCTCTTGGAATGGAGGGTTTGGTGTGTCAGGGAAAGAAACGAAAATTTCCTCCCCAGTTGCTGTGTTATAGCACATAAGAACTCTTAGAGTTTAGTATTATTTTCATCATTATATAATAAGGAAACTGGCTCAGAGAAAATGTCCAAGGTCATTTGGCTGGGATTTAAACCCAGGTTTAACTAACTCCAAAGCCTTTTCTTTTTCTTTTTGCCATATTGCATAATGGCAGGAAAGATAGACACTGGAATAAATAACTATAATCCAGTGGGAGAAGTTCCAAAATATGCTAAAATATCACAGACATACAGATAAGAGGGCAGCTGACTTGGCCTTGGTAAAGAGGTATGGGGTAGGGGTGGTGTGGACAGAAGGAAAAGTAGTGGAGAAGATGTGCTTGATCCTGAAGGATAAGAAGGTGCCAGCCAGGCAGGGCACTGCCATTCATGAAATAGCAGGTTTACAAGGGAGAAAACAGGTGTAGGAAGCTCCGATAACTCAGCTGCAGTTAAAAAGATTGCAGGTGGCAGAGCCAGTATCTAAATCACATCTTTCTGACTTCATAGTTTGTGTTTTTAACCAAAAGGAAAGACTCATACTTGGGAAAAATATGTGCCAGGACTCAGGGTGCCTCTTTGAATTGTGTGTCCTATGCACCTCCTCTCCCTGCCCTTTGGCCCTGCAGGGAGTGATGAGTGATGTGATCAGATGTGTGGTTTAAAGAGATTGGTCTGGAATCAGTATTATAAATTCCCAATGTATCTGTGAATCTAAATGTATTTCAGGAGTCAAGTGAGAAAATTTCTTAAGAAACAGTGTGAATGTTATTATCAGCCTTACGTGGCTTTTGTGCCTAGCATGGCTCAGACTTAGCTACACATGGGAATTGCCTGGGCCTCATGCCCAAAGGTTCTGATTCACCTGGGTTTTGGGATGTTAAAAATCTTTCCAGGTGATTTGAATGTGCAGCTGAATTTGAGAACAAATGATTTAATGATCAGAGGATCACAGCTGCACTTAAAATGCTGCTAAATAAGCAGGACACTTGCTGGAAGGTTGATGCTGGAAAGATACATTCCATGTTTCAGGATAATAAGCAGGACCAATGAGTTCTGATCCAAGCACTGGCATTGCTCATGGTGTCACCAAAGTCCAGGCAGTTGTAAAGGTCCACTGAACATCAGTCTCCTTATGTGTAATGTGAGCACTGATGTTCACCCAGTTCTCCAGTTTTATGAATCATGAAGGTTTGGGCCAGAATCTCAGTCTGATGTTCTACCAAGGACCCATCCTTTTACATGCCTGTCTCCTGTTGCATTTCAACAGCGCTTCCACCTTCTGCAATCTGGGAAAAGAGACTGGCTTATGTTTGGTATAAACTAATGTATGAAGGCAGGAAAAATTCTTGCTTCAGTTGGGCAAACCTTATTTTCAGCAGGCCATATGAATAAAGGATAAAGATGATGACAGTGAAAGGGTCTACAGAATGAAACCTGCGTAACAGAAAGAGCGAGAGATTGTGTGTCAGTGGGGCTGGCTTTGTGCTGTAGCTCTGCCATGTCTGACTGGTTGGATGAGATTTGGGTTTCTTGTCTGAAGGTAAGGGCAATAATACCAGACTTCCAGGGATCTTGCTCAATAGATTGCAACTTGTCTAGCAGCAGCTTGTCAGGCATGTCATAAGTCTCCAGCAAATATTAGCTACATGAAGAAATGAATGGTCTTGAGAGCTCAGGAAAAGCAAAAGATTATTTTCAGGCTGCAGAAGTTGTATTTGTTGAATTTGGAGTTTTCCCCTTTCATCCTGAACTCCTTTTGTGAAAAGGAGTGCTTTTTGCATTTCCTTGACACCGTGGAGGATACCAAGAGAAAACATGATGCTTTGCTTTTCTTTACTAAAATGATACTGTTTTTTTCAAGGTCTCTCTCAAGTTTCCTCTTGTGAATAGAGCTTTTCCTGACCACTCCAGCCCCCATTCACTATTATTTTGTCTGAACTCAATCAAAGTGTCAGACATTTTGATTGTCTGTGTCTAAGAATTTTCTGGGTGCTGTATTATTCACTCCGTAATTCAAGTGTATCAGTCTGTCTCCCAAGCCAGATTATTAAACTTCTTAAAACCTCTCTTATATTCTTGTCCCTCCACTCCCTATGCCACCATCACACCCCATGACAGATCTGCCTTAAATAATTCACAGAATCATAACGGGGAGCCAGGTGACCTTTCTGGCTTCTGCTTAAAGTTGGAGCCTTAAACTTTTCTAGAAATTAGGCAGTGGCCTATCAATTGGGATATAACTCATTGTCCTATATCCTTGCAGTAATTTCCAGCCACTAATTCTACTTCTAATATCTGATCTGATGCCTCATAAATCGGACTTCCTTTCACATATTGGGAGACAGTGATTTCATCTTCTCCTGGTTCTGTTTCCTCCAGAGGTGGTGGTATATTTTCCTGTACTGGTGGCATCTGGGAGTGACAGTGCAGAGCTTTGTCATCATCTTCTGCAGCCTCCTCTCCCAACCTACCCCAGTAAACATATACTCTAAGTAAGAACTGTGCTTGCTCGGCAAATATATCTTCAAGACTACCTTGACTGCAGCACCCAGCCCTTCCTTTTTAGGAAAATAGGAGCTACTGCTGCTTTCCCATTGCCTGCAGCCATTCCTAATACAGTTTTCAGATACATCACTGGTAGCATAATCTGCAATGTTGTACTTTGTCAGTATCCCTTTCAAAATACTGATCCAGAAATAAGCACAATTAAGGAGACAGAGTATCATAGTAGAAAAAAACATAGACATTGGAGTCACATAGACCTGGGTCCAAATCTGTCTCTGGTTGACTCTCTTAGCCTCAGTTTCCACATCTGAAAAATGGGTTATGGCATGGATTAAAGATAATATATATAAGGCACCTGGCACATAGTGGGCCCGAATATGATTGTCTGTATATTTCCAGTGTTAAATTCCCTGTTAGTTTAGTGATCAAGCTTATTGCGATTATTTGAATATTTGTTCAAAAGCATATGACTATGTGTGTGTGCAGGGGGTGTGGGAAAAAGAGTTGGACTCAGAGAAGCTGCATCAGCAGTGAGGAATGAGCCACTGCTTCTGTGGGAGTGGGTCTTGGCTATGAGCACTGTCAGGATAGAAAGAAATGCACATTCTCTGTGAAATAGATAAATATGCCTTTCTGTCTTCATCCAAATCATTAATAAAATATTAAACAGGGCAGAAATTATTATTGAACTTCATGGTATGCCATTAGAAATACAACTCTGAATTGATATCAAATGATAGTGGTTACTCAGTAATTTGGGGTCAGATTGTTTGGCCTCTAAATGAATCATTCCCTTTTAGCTTATATTTTCCTATTCTCTTCACAAGAATTTCACAATAGACTTTTGAACCAGATGATTTATTTCTGGTTGGAAAAGTGCTGGAATATCATGGGCTTCATTGAAATTTTCTTTGAAAAATTTTCCTGACCTTCAAATAAGCAAACAAAACTTTAGAATTGCCATAGGTTATAGGAGTAAGATGAAGTGGAGACTTGAAGGGTCAACATTTGTCTTCTTAATTATATTTTCTAAAAATTTAGAATCCTATTAGAAGAAATTTGTTTTAAAGAAATAGTGCAGAAATGGTCCCTGTGGAAATGTTTACTGTGCAGAAGGGTTTACAAGAAAATTAAATGAAAGGCATTCCACACATCCATCTGATTCTCGCTCCTGGAATTTAGATCATGCTGGACACTCTGCAAAGTGAGCCTTTTAACTAAAAAGATTTCATTGGTCCTGACACTGGAGTCAGTACAGCCCTTTTCCTTCTGGGGTTTCAGCCATATGTGAATGAGTTTCTGTTTTCTCTTTTTTTTTTTTTAAAGATGACCGGTAAGGGGATCTCAACCCTTGGCTTGGTGTTGTCAGCACCACGCTCAGCCAGTGAGCAAACTGGCCATCCCTATATAGGGATCCGAACCCATGGCCTTGGTGTTATCAGCACCGCACTCTACCGAGTGAGCCACGGGCCGGCCCTCTGTTTTCTCTTTTATACCAAGGCACATGCAGAACCCATCTGCAAATAAACTATGGGAATGATTAACTCTAGCCAAAGACCCCTTCATGCGAATTCTTCTAAATCCACCTTAAGGTACCCTCGTGCAGTGTTGTTTTGTGCAGCTTTAGACACGTGGTCAGAAACTGTTAACAGTGGTATAACCATGACAAAATCCACTTCCATTAGCAGCCCCAACCAGAATTCTCAGCCCTGATTTTATCACTCCAGAATGCATTCCATTAACTCAAGGACAATTATAAATGTCACAAACTAAAAGAAAATTTAGCCCTTTAATTAAAATTAAAGACAAAAAAATTCTTCAGTGCATTTTGGATGTGTGATGGGGGAAGAGAGGGTATGAGTAAGAGAAGTCCTGAGATATCAAAAGAGCTTGGGAACCAGTGACTTAACCTCTCGACAGCAGTAAATTTAGGGGTAGCACTTATTTTTCACAGTGTGTTCATAGCAATGTGTTTGTTGTGAGGGAACATGTCTCCACCCTGCTTTCACCGTCTGCAACACATATATGGAGGTTTGCTGGTCTAGGCTTCGAACTCCTTGTAGTTGCTCAAGCACAGTTCCTGGCATTTGGGAGATGTTCAGTAAGTGTCTTTTCAATGAATTAAGGAGTGAGTGAAAGACAGGAATTGTGTCTTTTCATCACTCTCCTCATCTCCTCCACAATTCGTGTGACTCCTGTCACATACACAGTAGCTGCTCAGTAAATGCTAGCTGTGTGAATGAAATGTACAAGAGCCGTGCCTGATGTGGCACCCACAGGGGCGTGGGAGTAAAAAAAAAAAGAGTGAGAATATTGCTGTTGCTCTTTGAGCATAGAAGCCATTTAAATGAGTATCTGTTGCTTTTAACTTATTGTTTATTTTTTTAAAAGGCAAACTCTAGTGGGACATAATTTAGTACCATTTGATCCAAGGGCAAGAAAAAATTGAAAACAAGACTTTATGTTTAGAAAAACTAAATGCTTTAAGTTAGTTTTGAAAGCCTGGGAAAATAATGGCCTTGTGAATTATGATATTAATGGAACACATTGAGTATGGGATACTCATTAAAATTCTTTTTTCAAACCTCTATTGCTTTCTTTTATGCAAGTAATGCAGATAAACCCAAACAAGAACAAACTGTCGTAACCCTATGTGTGCCTTTTCAATGTTCCTCAGGTTGTGAACGTTGCAGGGGGAGTCTCCTTTCTCGATGCAGTTACACCCATGGATTATTTCCCAGGATTAAATTTGGAAGGCTATCCTAACAGAGACAGCACAAAATATGCTGAGATTTATGGCATTCTGTCTGCTCACACTTTGTTGCGGGGGACACTGAGATATAAGGTAAGCAGCTGTTCTCTAGATTAAACATGTTGCCAGTTTTGGTGTAATTGATATGTACACTTGATTTTGCTTAGTAATCAAAATAATTAAGATGGCAAACCAGGTTGGAGCCTATTTTCTCAGGGATCTTTTGATTGAATGTTTTATGAGATTCAACTCAAAATAGCAGGAAGAGGATTTATTGATTCATTACGAGTTGGGGCAGGCAGAGGCCAGCTTCTGGCTTAGTGGGATTTGGTAGTAAAGGGACCTCGCCAGGACTCAATTTCTTTTCACCTCTCAGCTCTTCCTTGCAGTATTCACTACAGTCTCAAGTTCTACACTGCAACAAGATGGTGCCTCTTGTAGCCTATGAGGTTAGAATCAAGTGAGAATGAAAAAGTACATCTTTCTAATTGATAAAAATATAATTTTTGTCTTATTAGCTGGGGCTGATCCCTGAGATCAATGGGATAAAATGTGCCAATAGGCTTTGGGCTAGCTTCAATGTCCTTAGAGTTGAAGATGTAGTCAATATCATCAGAAACACATGGACTGGGGCTGGGGAAAAGGGAAAGGGTAAGAGGGGCTTCCCCAAAGCAAATCTGAAACGTTTTTTAACCACAGAATGGGGAGTACATTTTAGGAGCATAAATACAAATGTGCACTACACATTTATTGAACACAAAAGAGCAGTTACATGTATGACTGAATCATGGCAACATTTGTAAAGGTTTAGATCTTAGAAGCAAGCTGGGGGTATTACTTTTTTCCCTCCTGTTTAAAGTGTATTTACATTGAGTTAATGCAAACAAATGTGAATTCTTTTATCAGTAACCTTATTTAAACAGTATAACCTTTCAGAAATGTGAAAATTACTAGTTGACCACACACTCAATGGTGAAATCTCTGATGCCTATAGGAACTATTTTATATTCTAATAACTTTGTTCCTCCCTAAAATTATTTTCCACACTTTTTCTTTTCTCTCTCTCCCCCTTTCTCTCTGCTTAAGCAGTAATTGCAGCAGCTACAATGTTTCTTATTCTGGTCCTTCCATTTCCCCTGCTGATTTGCACGTAGGAGAAGAAACTGTTATGGTCTTCCTGAACTTCATTTGTCATTTAGAATCTATTATACAGTCATTTGTTCTCTTTTAGCAGACTGGAATGTTGGAATGTTGAATAATGGGCTGAGTGCATGGGGATGAAGGAAATAACATATGCATATAATAGAATTAATATAAGTATATAATTTCCCTGCTTCCTATACCTACACTCCAGCAGCTGAATAGATGATTAATTATAATCTGTGTTAATTGCAATGATAGAGGTATGTACAAAATTCTACAGGAATACAAAGAAGGGAGTGTTCACTCACCGAGGGGGCTTACCAGGTGTGCTAAGGTGGGTCCTAAGGGAGGAGTAAGCATTTCACAGGAAGTAGTGCAGGAGCAGCATGTACAGAGGCCCTGGTCTCTGGAAGAGCATGGCATGTTTGGGGAATGGTGAGACGTGAAGATGATGATTGTGAGTCAGGCCGGAGGGCCATATTGTGATGAGTTTTATGCAGTATACCAAGGACCTCAGACTTCCTCTGAAAACAATGAAGACACATGAGGAATTTTTATCAGAGTGGTGATAGGGTCATATCTACCTTTTTGAAAAATCTCTTTGATTCCTACCTCTTTTCTTGCTTCCCATAAGCCTTAGGGTAGTGGCTCTTAATCAGTAGAATGTATTGTCTGCTTTGGGGAGGATATTCTTACAAGTTCCTCCTCCCGTTATGTTATAAGAAGGAGCCCAACTGACTATTCTATTAAGTAATATTCTGCTGAACTGACAGCATATAACACATGAGGGAGTTTGCGCTTATGCTGACAAAAATACCACTCACATGTTACCCAGAAACAGAAGTAAAGACCCAAGTTTTGCAAGGTCTCTTACATAAACCATGGAATTGTTATGACACTCTTGATCTCTGTTTGAGCTTGGAGGTGGGTTGTATCCATATCAACAATACAAATGACTGTTTTCAGCCTGTTTTCTAAATAAGTTGCAAAGATAGATTTCTCTTTTCAAAAAAGCTTTAAATTGTTTTTCTTTGAAGAGGAAATTTTCATATACTGCTTATTAATTCCTGTTTCAGGGATATGCCAAAGCTTTAAACGGATTTGTAAAATTGGGTCTGATAAACAGAGAAGCATTTCCTGCCCTTCAACCTGAGGCCAGCCCTCTCACATGGGTGAGTGACTCCAGAATTGTGTGCTGTTCTTCAGAAAATACTTCTGAAACGGTCAGATGTACACTCTGATTTGGGCTAGCAAAAGACCCCATCTGTAGTTTATGTCGAGGAAGATAAATCCTAACACTGAAGTCTCCTTTCCCTTCACTGTAGTGTGAGGATGGAGAGGGCATGGAGCTGGCATGCCAGGCCTGTTTCCTACAGCAACTTCTACCATTTGAGCCCTAAGAAGAGATGCATTTGTCCTCTGCGTTGGGCTCTGGGTGCTTCCAGTTGTATAAGTGGTGACCCAGTAACAGGACTCACTTGGGCCTCCTGAAAGTGATAATCTAGGAGAAATGCTGGTGTATCACAGAACCAGATTCTCAACCCCTAAATTCCATCAGTCCTCTCATTTGGCCATTCACAACCATGCGTAATTTGAATTTCAGTTACTGAGTTTATACCTATATCTGTGCTGTACCAAAATTTTAGGATCTTAGGGTTGGAAGAGGACTTCAAAAGCATGGAACAGAACGTAAAGTAGAGCTTCCACTAACTGCCAGGGATTAACTTGTTACTAGCTGGCCATTCAACTTAAACTAGTGTGCTCATATTCCAATAGAAATGGCACAAATGTATCACAAGGAGAAAGGGACCAATATTGCTAATCTCATTAAATCTCCAAAATAAACTTTGATATTTTTGCTCGCCAGTTACTTTTTTTGTGTGTACCTGTGAAACTTTCCAATATGTTTTATCCTTCATAAGGTTACTTGTTGATAGTAGTAAATAAATATCTGTAGAGAGAATCTGGGGTGGAGGAGCCAAATTGGGAAGGTTGGTACAGGCATTTTTACAGGTGGTCCCAGTGTCTTGGTAACTATAGTCTAGAACAGGGGTCGACAAACTTTCTTTGTAAAGGACTAGACTGTAAATATTTTAGGCTGTATGGGCTGTACAGTATCTGCCAGAACTACTTGGTTCTGCCAAAGGCAATCTATAAACAAGTGAGCACGACTATGTTCCAGTAAACCTTTTATTTAAAAAACAGGTGTTGAGCCACATGTGGCCTGTAAACCAGTTCGTTGACCTCTGATCTAGAGCATGGCCTTTCCTTTGGGAGCCAGGAAAAAGTCTTGTTTAGAAAGTAGAAAAAGCTATGGCCACTGTTCTTTCTTTGAGATTTTGTTACCTGAAAGGTCTTTCTCTTCTCTTGAGTCTACCAAAAAAAAAAAAAACCTCTGGTTGCTATTGGCAACCACAGCAGTAAGCCACTTTATCTTGGCCAAAATTGACTGCTGCAGGGTGAGGCAGAATGGGGGATAAAAGTGATGGAGAGGATATAAAAGGCAAGGAATGCGCTGGTAAATATGGGGCCAGCTGTTTAGTATTGAGTTGATGTTACGACTCATTGTTATTGCTGAAATGTCATTCTGGAATGCCATGCATTTCTTTTTTTTCTTTTTTCTTTTTTTTTTTTTATTGTATATACATGGAGGGTACAATGTTGATTTTCAGTAATTGTATAGAATGTGTGGTGGTTAGATCAGTATAGTGAGCTTATTAATTGTTACAGTATGCAATCATTCCTTGTGTCCATTGACCAATTCCTTGTTACCCTCCCCCTTCTCCTCCTCCCCTCCCCTGCTCTTTCCCACCTATAGATTTTTGAAAGTTCAGGGTATTACTGTGATTGTTGTCTGTTTCTTTCTTTCTCTCTGTCTCTCTTTCTTTATTGTTAATTTTTTAATTTATGGATTCAGCTCCTTGTTATAAGTGAGAACATGTGGTATTTCTCTTTCCGTACCTGGGTTGTTTCACTTAGGATAATTTTCTCCAGGCTCAACCATGTTGTTGCAAATGGTAGAATTTCATTCTTTTTTATGACTGAGTAGTATTCCATTGTGTATATCTACCACAATTTCCTTATCTAGTCATCCATCGATTGGACATTTAGGTTGGTTCCATCGCCTAGCTATGGTAAATAGAGCTGCAGTAAACATGGGAGTGCAGGTGTCCCTTCGACCTGATGTTTTCCAATCCTCTGGATAGATCCCCAGGAGTGGGATTGCTGGATCATATGAAAGTTCTTTCTGTAGTTGTTTAAAGAACCTCCATACTGTTCTCCATAATGGTTGTACTAATTTACAGTCCCATCAACAGTGCAGGAGGGTTCCTCTCCACATCCTCACCAGCATTTGTTATTCTCTGTCTTTTTTGTGATAGCCAGTCTGATTGGGGTGAGGTGATATCTCAAAGTGGTTTTGATTTGGGATCCGAACCCTCGGACGGGAGCGCCGCCGCGCTTCCCAAGCGGCGCACTATCCAGTGCGCCACCGGGCCGGCCCATAATTATTTCTGATTTAGAAATTTGTGCTGCATTTGAGGTCCAATGTCTTCACAGGATAATTTTTTAGTTAATTTACTTTCTATTTTATTAGGAACTTAAAATTTTAATCTTTATTTTTCTAACCAGAAAGAACTCCTCTGTGACCTAGTTGAGATTTCACGTTCCTCCAAGCACGATGTGCTTAAGGAAGTTGTCCTTAAGAAACTAGGAGGGGACAATACCCAGCTGGAGGCCGCTGAATGGTAGGTATCCACTATTCAACTTAGAGCATAATATATTGGATCAATGATTGTTTGGTCCTTTCTAGTCAAAGTAAGGTCAAAACAGAACCAAACATTTTACATTTGTCTTTAATTAATTTGCTGCTCTAACGTTGGCTTGTTGTAGGGAGATTACTACATACCATGTTTATGTGGAGATAAGAAGTAGATAAAGACAGGAACTCAAGAGCAATTATAATTTGAAAAATACTTATATGAAACACCTTACCACTCAGTTTCTGAGCAAAGTGAAATATTTTTGCTTTTCTATAGAAGCTTCTCTGAGTATTTCTCTGACTACTCCAAAACATTCATTCACATTACTGCTATGCATTATGCTGGTATACGTAGGGTGGAAGAACTAATCTGTAAATTAATCTCACGAAAGCTTTGTAAAAACGTGGACTTATCTCTGCATTATCTCTGTTCTGCTCCAGGGAGTAGTGGCTGGAGGTTTATGGTGATGAATCTGAAGATTAAAGCATTATTATTGTTTTTCGTTATTTTACAATTTAGGAGAGTCCTGTAACTTGGAGTACCATCTTGTGACTCTGCTCTTGGAAAAGACAATTCAAGTAGCTACCCCTGCTTCCCTAAAGAGAATATGTGTAGGTCTTGACCTAAGGCAGGCATCTCTTGTGCTTTTCAGGTTGGGCTTACTTGGGGATGAACAAGTCCCTCAGGCAGAGTCCATCGTAGATGCACTCTCTAAGCATTTGGCCATAAAACTTTCCTACGGTAAGCCATGGGGTATCAGTTAAATATCTCTGAAGAAGAATCATAAGATAGAGTCAGTGCAACCAGAGAATTAGATTGGAGGGCTGAAGCCAAGCAGGGGGAATGGGGAAGTGTGCTATGAGGAAAAGGGTAATTGGGCTATCTTTTCTGAGGGAAGAATATGAGAATTATTAGATAAGAATGGACTAGGATAATATAGGAAAGAAAAAAAGAAGTTTTAATTTTTATACATTAGGGAAATGTTGAAGGAGCATTTTGGGGAGCAAAGTGCATGGCTGCTATAGCAGTGTCCTTGTGTCTGTAGCCAGGCTATAGTAATACCAACTCGGACAAAGGACTGTGATCAGAGTTATAGTTTCCTTGAGTTTTTCACTTGGTCTTTGGGCTAAAAAGCAGTATAGATATTTATCTAATGATTATATATATATATATGAAAGGAGATATTTATCTAATGACTATATATATATATATATGGGCAGGAATATGGGACAAAAATACAATATCTGAGTTGTAATCATAGTGGCTGTTAAAAATGTCATTTATTTTAAGGCCCTGAAGAAAAAGATATGATTATAATGAGAGACAACTTTGGAATCAGACATCCTTCTGGACATTTAGAAAATAAAACTATTGATCTTGTGGTTTATGGGGATGTCAATGGCTTTTCAGCCATGTCTAAAACTGTCGGGTTACCCACCGCCATGGCAGCCAAAATGTTGCTTGACGGTAAGTTCTATTCATCTGAGAATGAATATCACCTCCAAGTCCTTCAGTGCTTGGACATAACATAATTACTGTTTAGCACAACACTGGCATTCACTAAAAGTGAGCCATCTTAGAAGATCCAAGCACTGGCTGACTGGGTGTTCACCTTATTGGGAGTAAAACTCACGGGCTTTAGAGTTAGGCCAGCTTTCTGTCTAGCTCTGTCACAAGATGGCTGAGTGACAAGGTGCAAACTACTCAGCTCCTCTGAGCCAGTTTCCCCATCTGTAAGTGGGTATCATCGTCCCTAATTGGTAGGGTTGTTGTGATACTTAAATGAAATAACACATAAAGTTACTGCCACATAGAAGGACCCACAGGGAATATTAACTCCCTTCCTTTCTTTTCTTGGGTTTTGCTATTTGGGGAGTGATAATTCTGAAATAGCAGAGGATATTCACTTCCATATCCTCAAGAATACAAACCATGTTTTGCTAATCTTCATATCTCAGCATGTTATTAGTACTCAATAAATATATTGGACTAAATGAATCAAAATTGTAGCTCTCCACTCTCCCCTTGAGATCACACATACATTCAATAAGCGCTCCCTCTGTATAGAATACCACATTTGGCCCTTATGAAAGAATGAGGGGAGTAGAAAACATCAAGCATGTAAATGTGAAATAATGAGAAAACGTTTCTACAATGGCATATCAGATAAGGTCAAATTAAACTACCTACTTTTACCAGAGGGAAGAAGTAATAAGGGCTGGGTCATAATGGCCTTTAAGGAGACTTACTGTTTCAGCCATCCTAAGAGGTGCCTATGCTCAAATCATCAGAATGATTTTAATTCATGCTGTTGGTGTTATGCCTTTTTAAGAAAATAACATCAGCAAGATAAGCAGTTTACTTTACTTTCTTACTTTTTATTCTTTGATTGTCTTGGCAGTGATTCAAGCAGTCAGGTGTACAATTTCTGACACTGTCCTTAAGTCCAGCTGTGCTTTCAATCTAAAATTAACACAATGTTGATTAAGTAATAATTTAGTAGGGAAATTTAAGAAGCTATTAAAAAAAAATTCCTAGGCTTCTAACAATGCATTGACTCTGAATTTACTGTTGGGTCATATCTTCTGTGTAGAGATTCTTACTGGGGAAATTAATCTTTAACATCATCTTTAAAATGGTCATTACACATTTATTTTCTTCTAGGTGAAATTGAAGCCAAAGGTCTGATGGGGCCTTTTTCAAAGGAGATCTATGGACCAATACTGGAGCGAATTAAAGCAGAAGGCATCATATATACTACGCAGAGCACAATTAAACCATAATTGGAAATTATATTTTGTTATTATCTTCCCAGGCAACAGAGCTCTGAATATTTGTGTGGCAAACATGCTTGCTAATGTGCTATTTTAAAGTACATGATATGTTTTGAGTAAGACAATAGTGTTTTTGAAATATGTCTCTATCTTAATATAAAAATTTTGGAATCTGAGATGCCAGTCATTACCAAAAACTTTAATAATTCTACCAGGTATTTTTTTCATACATAAAAGTGGTAATTGATAGTGGTAATTGATAGTGCTATTTGTTAAGTTATTGTGCCACTTTTTTTTCTTACAAGACTATATTTTCCTATAATGAGCAGATAGTTTTACTTTTTCAGTCAGAAAAAAATTTCCTCATATAGCTGTATTTTTGTATTTTTCAAATTGATTCAGTTAGATACCTTTGGGTTATCTATCTGCAAATTTTTGCAAAATGGCATTTTATGCGTTTTTTGTAAAGTTATGTTTTATTTACTAAATGTTTTTCCTTACAGTTTTCTCTTGAGTATTTGAAAAGAGAAACAGATAAGATTAAGTCACAATCCACGTGATCACTTCATTAGCTCAGAAGAAGTATTTAACAAAATTCAGTACCCTTTCATGATAAAAACAGCAAACTAAGAGTAGAATGGAACTTCCTAAACCTGATAAAGGGAATTTATGATAAACCAATAGCTAGTATTATACTTAATGGTGAAAGACTGAATGAATTTACTCCTAAAATCAGAAACAAGAATGTTTTTTCTTGCCACTTTATTCAACTTGTACTGGAGGGTTGAGCCAAGGCAATTGACAAGACGATAAAAAGCATCTAGATTAGATAGGAAGATGTTAAACACTATTTGCAGATGATATGATCTTATCCATAAAAATCTAAAAGAAAACCGTAGAAAATCAAGATGTACTCTTAAAAAAGATTAGAACTAATAAATGAATTCAGAGAAGTTGCAGGATGGGGCTTTCTATACAGTATTAATGAATGAGCCAAAAATGATAATAAGAAAACAACTCTATTTTCAACAGATCAAAAGGAATGAAATAGTTGCAGAATTGGGAGTCCAGAAATACCACTCACTTTTATGATCAATTGAGTTTTGAAAAGGGTACTAAGACAACTCAATGGGGGAAAAACAGTCTTTTTCATCAAATCGTGCTTGGAAACTTGGATATCCACATGGAAAAGTTGGAGCTCTTTCTCATACCACATATAAAAATTAACTCAAAATGGACTTAGGACTTAAATGTAAGAGCTAACACTGTAAAAAAAATCTTTGAAAACAATATAGCATAAATCTTCATGATCTTGGATTAGGCAATGGTTTCTTAAATAAATGACTCCAAAAATACAAGCAACAAAAGAAAAAAATGGATAAATTGAACATCATCAATATCTAAAACTTTTGTGCTTCGAAGAACACCATCAAGAAAGCAAAAAGACAATCCACAGAATGAGAGAATATCATGTAAGGGAGGAATTTGTATCTAGAATATATAAAGAACTGTTATAACTCAGTAATAAAGAAACAATCCAATTTAAAAAATGGACAAAGGATCCAAACTATCAGTTCTTCAAAGAAGATATGCAAAAGGCCTGTAAGCATATGAAAAGATTATCAACATTATTGGCCATCAGGGAAATGCAAATCAAACCTACAGGGAGAAACCACTTTATACCCACAAGAATGGCACTAATCAAAAAGATAACAAATGTTGGTGGGGATTCAGAGACATTGTAACCCTTGCATACTGCTAGTAGACACAAGAGAAATGAAACCATGTGTTCACAGAAAAACTTGTAAATAAATATTCATAATGGCATTCTTCATAACAGTCAAAATTGAAACAACCCAAATGTGCAGCAAGTAATAAGTGAATAAACAAAATGTAGCACATCCATACAATGGAATATTATTCAGCAATAAAAAGAAATGAAGGCCAATACATGCTGTAACATGGATGACCATTGAAAACATATTGAGAGGAAAACCAGATGTAAAAGGCCACGTATAGTGTGATTTCATTTTTATGAAATGTCTGGAAGAGGCAAGTCACTATTTATAGGAAGTTAGGTTAGAGGTTGCCTAGTCCTGGGGAGTTTGGGAGAAAAATGGAGTAACTGCTAATGAGTTTGGGGTTTCTTTTAGGGGTGATGAAAATGCAGAGTTGATTGGGGTAATGCTGGCACAAGTCTGTGAATATAGTAAAAACCACTGTAGTGTATGCTTTGAATGTGTGAATTGTATGGTATGTAAATTATATTCAAGTTGTTATAAAAACATTGAATTACAAACAAGGTTTATTTGTTTTCTCTTTGGGGAAAAACTCTTGCTTTTAGAGATACAGATTAAGTACCTATTTGACTTTCATGGACTGTGCTCATATCCTGGCATAAAAATGAAACTAATTCTGCCCTTGAAATAAGCAGGTACCACTACTGGGGTATATGACAATTGAGAAAACACCTCCTGTGCAATTTGAAAAGGATCAAAGTTGATTGGTCTTGTCCCACCTATCACAAATAATATATGGAGATCAATATTACACTAATAAGTAAAAGCATTTTTGTTATGATTTTTTTTTTTTTACCACAAATCTAGTTAAACACAATCAATTAGGAAATAAAACGTGTCACATTAATCCCACACCCAGTGTGGATTAATGCTGAGATTGATGGAGAACTGGGGGAACTAGCACCTTGGGTGGGGAGGGGAACGTGTTGAGCTCTCAATAAAATTAATAGGTTTGGGCTTTATGATGACAATGAATGATAACAGGGATGTGATTGAAGAGCTGATCGAATGTCAGTGTTGGTGGTGGTGATAGAAAAGAAAATATCAGTAAGCTTAAATAAAGCTAGATATAGTCAAACACTGCATTGGCTCTCAATAACAACTTTTCATGCAGAAACTTCAATAATAAGGGTGGTGGAGGTACAGTGCAGAGCTTAGTAAGTGGGTTATAATTCTAAGCATATGGCTCTACCAGAGGTCAGCAGATTTTTTTTGTAGAGGGCCAGACAGTAAACATTATAGTCTTTGCAGCCCGAAGGTGTCACAACTGCTCATTTCTGCCTTTGTGGTGAGAAAGCAGCTATAGAAAGTACAAAACTGAATGGACATGGTTGTGTTTCAATAAAACTTTATTTGCAAAAAAAAAAAAGTGATGGGCATACTTGACCCTGGAGCAGACTTGATCCTGGAGTTTGTGGACTCCTGGTTTAACCATTCTGGTAGACTCAATGCCCACATCTTCCAGATCTTTCTACCTCTTTTGTCCTCTTCCAGATGATAACCATTATTTGTATTGTCTAGTTTTCCTTGTTCTAGACTCAGGAAACACTAGAACACACTATACACAGTATGATCAGTTCAACAACATACTAGCTGTTTTCTTATCCACAAAAAAAGGATAACAGTAACTTCAGAGGATGGTTATAAAGATAATAAAAAGAGATGATAATGTAGGAGAAATGCCTGCCACCTAGAAGATGTTCAAAAGCATTAGTGTTCTTCCCTCTTTTGCAATAACAGTTTTGCCTGAAGTTTATGTTGAAATTAATTAAAATTTTAACTTTGAGATATTTTCAATCTTTTGGATACCTTTGGAAGACTCCTCAAAGATCCATGCTGCTCAAACAAGCCCTAGATGTATCTGGTCCTTAATGAGGACTTTACAGTGATTGTAGAAGTAGAACGGACCACAATAATCACTTGGTCAAGTCTATGATTTTACAGAACAGACAATGTTCCTCACAAAGTTAAATGTGTCAAGACTTAATATTGAAATTTGCCATGTGAAGATACCTAAAATACTTAATAAAATTTGGGAACACTTTGATTTATAAAATATCTCTTAGGGTGTGTTACTTATTAGGACCACCACTAGCTCATATGGTGCTTTTTTGAGAATTAGAGAAGGGCATTCCTTCAAAACACTTGTATCTGTCAAAAAATTGTCCCCAAATATATAATTCATTGGTGAAACTTACTTTACTACCCTCTGACAAAAAACTTATAATAAATATAGAAATCTTCAATGTCATGATATGATTAGCTCCGTCTTAGAGGCAGTGCACAATTAGCACAGCCATGCAGTACTAGCTTTCTTTACAATGGCTTACATTTGCTTGTTTGCAGCAGAACTACATTTACCAGACTTAACTTCCACTGGAAAGGATCCAGTGAGAAAATCTGGCTGTTCTGGAGCAATATTTTTCAGTCACCGATAGCTCATCTAACAATTTCCTTTCTGCAATTTTGTTTTAGTTCTAATATTCACTCTTAATTTTTATTACTTAGTAATAATTACAAAACTGTGTTGAGTCCTAACCTGTTAGGTTAAGAGGTACAAGTCCCTGAGCTTCCAGTCAAGATGGTGGAATAGATGTTCCCCAGCATCACTCCCTCCCATAAATCAACCAATTTACAATTATTAAAAAGAAACGATAACCAAGCTGGGGCTGCTAGAGCTCAGGGGAAGAAGAGGAGAGATGTATGGAGTGCATGAAGGTGGGAGAAGCCATGATGAGAGAAAGAAAGGACTGGTCTGACGGTTTTGAGCCCTGGCTGCTTCCAGGCTGGAGCTGCAGAGTGCACAGAGCAGGAGCTGGTGAAAACTGCAGCTGTGTTCTTCAGATGAAGTTAGTTGGAGGCATCAGGTGAGAAGAGAGCGTTGGTGGCTCCCAGGGCAGCAAGACCACTAATAGTGTTCTGGTGGACCCACATAGGAGTGAGGAGCCAGAACAGCTGAAAAAAGGGAGCCACTCAGAGGCCGGTGAGTCATTGCAAGGGACCAGCACATGACTCGTCTCATGGGAAATGTTTGGAGCATGGACAGCGGGCGAGATGGGCCCACTGGGGGAACACTGGGACACAGTTTGGACAGCTGATCTGCCCCCTAATCAGCACAGGACCACTCAGTGGAGACTGATCAGGAATACAAATCTGCTGGGGTGCAGTTTGCTGAAAGACTCAGGTCCAGACCGGAGTTTCAGGTCTCTCGAGAGCCAGA